ATTATAAACCATTTCCATTACAATACTATTCATTGCATTATAATCATTATACACTGAAATTTTGTAAATATAACGCTGATTTTTGTTGTTTGTCTTCTGAATTAGCATTATACACTGGTTATCATATATTAAGGGAAAATCACAAAAATAGCGGGAACTCCATCAAAAGTAAGCCAAACCGTGTAAAATTTGAATATGTTGCCAAGTAAGAGTAGCTAAGTAAAACTCCAAATGCAAATTAGTGGCGCTGCACTCTGAATACGTCACCTGCGAGGAGCATAAAAAGTCCATGTTTGAGAGCAAGCCCGCATATTTCACTGTGATAGTGACATCAGAAATCTGAGATAGCCAATTCGTAACAATGACCTCCAGGCATCATTTGCCTGCAGAACTACGATAGAGAGCCATTGGGAGACTAGAGGCAGGACAAAGTCAAACAGAAGTGGCCAGATGGCTAAATGCGAGTCCATCTGTGGTTCATAGACTTTGGAGGCTATTTCAAATCACAGATTCGGCTCCTAGGAGGTTCAGCCAAGGACGAACTGCTACGACGAGCGCCGCCGACCGATATTTGATATTATGTGCACTCAGGAATAGAACCGCTACTCCGACTCTTCTTAGATCCTCCCTTGCTGCAGCCACCGGGAGGTTGGTGTCAGCGTCAACTGTGCTTCACAAAGGTGGTTTGTATGCGAGGCGAACAACTATTTGCGTGTCGCTCAAGGTCACGCCATAGGAGGGACCGTTTGCAGTGGAGACGACAACATTTCCACTGGACGCCTGAGAAATGGAGGGCTATTCTCTTTACGGATGAGTCCAGGTTTAGTCTATAAAGCGATAATAGGCGTTATTTGATATGGAGAGAACCTGGAACCCGTTATCATCCGTCAAACATCCGTGAAAGAGATGCATACGGAAGCGGCAGTGTCTGTGTTTGGGGTGGCATCTCTTTGGGTGGACGCACAGACCGACATCCTTGATGCTTATGTGCGCCCATATGCCGGGGCAGTAGGTGATGCTTTCCTGTTACAGGACGACAATGCAAGACCACACAGGGCTCGCATCCTATATGATTATCTTCAATAGGAAACAATTATGCGCATGGAGTGGCCAGCTCGATCTCCGGACTTGAATCCTATCGAGCACGTTTGGGATGGTTTAGGGAGACGTCTAGCTGCTCTCAATCCGCCCCCTTAGACCCTTGCCGCGCTTGCAACTGCTTTGCAAGAGCGATGGCTCTCGCTTCCTATGGAACTGATAGGCCGCATAATTGAAAGCATCACACATCGCTGAATGTGCTGTATTGCTCAGAGGCGATTATATTCCATATTCATAAAATTCTACATGTAACTTTTCAGTAATCATGATTTTTGTGATTTTTCTTTAATTTATGATAACCAGTGCAGTTATCTGCCATCTATTCATTTCATCATACTCGCGAAATAATTCTAACATTTTATGCATTGTACAATACAAAGTTTGTGTTAGTAACACTCTGTGTAAATAAAATGGTAAGGTTTCAATTCGCCATACAGAGTGTCTCTTCGTACATGTTCGTAGTAGTTTCTATTAACCTATAATTTTGTGCGAATCTTGCTCTTTACAGATATTATCAAGTTCCATGTAACTCAGAATAATCATAAGGAATATCCCTCCTTCTTGAACAATAATTTAATCCCTGTTTCGGGATATCTTAAATATTCCATCGAAGCACAGTTACGAGAAATCTCATTGAGTTTAAAATCGATGTAATTATCTTCAATTGTATGAAGATGTACTATTAGAATCGTTAAAGTACTCACATCTAATGTAGATTTTTAATGTGCTACATCAGAAAGACGGTTTGCCTTGGTGCAGGCACTTCGCAAGAATGGCAATTAATCTCATAATATTTTATGATTAACTTAGAAACAAAGTTGTGCTTGTGTTCTTCATAGCAGATATTGAACATTCTATTAAAGATCCCCCATTAACATACCACTGAGTGTTTACATAACATTTTAGATATTAATGCCCACGGATAATGCAAAGAATCCTAGCTTCCTAATCGTATATGATTTTATTTTAACAAGTCTGATGGTAAAGTGGCACGTGTGATGTCTTGTCGAATAAAAAAACCTTATAACTTAGGTAAAAATAACACGCCAAATAATGAGTCTTGGAGAAGTCAAACAACAAGAATCAGCTTATATTTGTAAATTTTCCAGGTCTAGTTTGAATGGTTTAACTACTGAACCAGCACCTTGGCAGCTGAGGAACATGGTTCAGTAGCTAAACCATCGAAACAAGTCCTGGAAAATTTACAAATATAACGCTGATTCTTATTGTTTGACTTCTCCAATAAAAAAACCTTATATTATCGCTGAAAGAGTGAAACCCTCGATTTTAGGAAAATAAATTCATGAGGTCAACTTATACACTGAATACCCACTTTATTACGACCAAACTGCCAATATTTCATTGATCCACCTATTGCCTTTTAATACACCATTGATTCTTCTTCGCATGTAGTCTATGAGATTTTGTTTGACAAGTCGTTTGTGAAATCTGAGACCATGTTTGATAACAGCACTTTCCAGTACTGTGGGGGAGGGAAACTGTAAGACTCCAATACTTTTCAGTACTGTGAGACTCTTCCAGATTGTACATTACTGTGAGACTAAATGTTGTGGATCTAGATGTCCGATTTGGTCAGCAACGATGTTTAAATACGATGGGTTATTCAGACATTCATGAAATCAAATGAAAGGCCCATAACATACCAGGAAAATAGATCCCAAATTATCACATTTCCACCACCAGCTTGAAGGGCTGTAGCAATGTACTTAGGATTCATGCTTTCATGTTGTTTCTGTCAAATTCTCGATCGCCCATCTACATGGTGTAACTAAAAACGTGATTCATCCAGTCACATAACTTGCTCCCAACTATCCACTGTCCACTCCTTGTGCTCCTGAGCGAATTTGAAATGTTTTATCTTGTTAGCTGCAAGACAGCAACGGTGTTCGAACTGGTCTTCGGCTTTCCATATCCCATGCAATGCGTCGTAAGGCGAAAAGTGCGTTCGGAGATCCCTTTAATTAAGACCGTTGATTAGGATCTGCTACACACTGTTACCATTCCGTTGTCTTTTACAAGTTTGGAGATTCTCCGTTCTATCCAGAGTCGTAGCTAGGGTTTTCAGCGCCCAGGGACAACTGAAGGTTTCGCACCCCCTACTGCTTGCCAAGGATGGAAAACTTTTAATTCTAAAATGTCGTAACATCAGTTTGGCACCCCTTGGATTCTGCGCCCGGGGACAGATGCCTCCCTTGTCCCCCTCTAGCTACGCCCCTGGTTCTACCCGAGCATTCATCAGTCAATGACGACTACAAGTTGCACGTTCAGACCCAGCTTTGCGCCTGCCAGTCTAGTCTTTTAAGCACTTTAACTACAGCTACTCTTGAACATTTCACAAATGCGAGTTTTGCTGGGACATTCTTCCATGCCTCTGAGCTCCCACAATTTTCCCATTTTGAAAGTGCGCTAAATTACGGTTTTCCCCCATATGTTCACAAACAATTCATCTATATTTCTGTCTCAGGAACTAGGCTTTCTTTTTTTATACTAGCCTAGTTCTCCAGCGGCAGCAGTGTGACGCATTATTCGATTTGTTTAAAATTGTCAGGTGGTCAAAATAAAGTAACCACTCGGTGAATATAGACCAGGATATGCTCTGCTGGTTTTCTACCAGACGAAATATAAAATCCCCAACTTTTTACATGAATTTTAAGAAGTTGAGAATGATGGCTTTTGAACAGAATGGTAAATATGAGCATTTAAATGCCATCTATAAGTAAACTTGGGGGAAGGGGGTGATAAATTTCAGCCGAAGCAGAATTGTTACAAAATATAACAGATTTTCAATAGCAGTTTCATGAAATTATCCTAGAAATCTCATCTAAATTCATTAGAAAACTTTCATTTTGGTATACTTTTAAGGAATTATTTCATTGTAACAGCATTTAAAACATGAATTGGTTTAATGTTATACATGCGCGGCTTAAGTGTTTGTCGCCGATAGTTTATCGGTTGCTTGCGTAACTGTAAATTGTTTTATTCCCCGTGCAGTGCAGCGCGTGATGAATATTATGAGAAAGCTAAGCCGGAAAAATTAAAAATACGTGCATTTAACATTTAATAAATAAATTTAACATCTATATATAATAGAATTCGGAAATATGCAATCGGCAAAAACCGGCAACGATGAAAAAACAAATAAAATGAAATAAATAAATATCTTTATTATATGCGGCTTAAATGTCTGCTTGTCGCCGATAGTTTATTGGTTGCTTGAGTAACTGTACTAGCCAATGGGGTGAAGTTGCCACGGCACACGGTTGCCGTTTCAATTGAGACGTAGACAATTTCCTGTAAAACTTTAAATATCAGGGCCAAACGCTTAAGCGTGTTAACAATTTTTTACCTGAGCCTGCATTTGGACACGGTCAACTTTATATTGCCTATTCAAGAGTTCGTGAAAGAAAATTAAAAATAATGGATGGTCCTCTGCAAGGTGAGCTTAAAAATGATGGAAAGATCTACACAAGAAATGTTGTGTACAAAGAAATCTTTGACATGCGAATTAACATTTTATAATTTAAATCACCGTTATTTATTGAGCTAGTGGTGGCTGTTAAGAAATGTACCGCCCGTGGTTTCCTTCATTGCACTCTACTTTAAGCAATTAAGCAAGTAGAAGGGGGAAACCCCGTGGGGCAGTAAGCAAAGGGGCGTCCTCGCCGCCTGCCCTGGGTAATTCAGTTTGAATTCAGAATGAATTTGAAGTCTGTACCTTTGCACAAATCATTTTAATTACAATTTATAATATCTAGAACAGCGGTCATTTCGCATGACTGCCGGGCTTTCTAGTATCTTATAAACAAAATAATCAGTACACGAAGATTCGGAGAAAGAAAAAGTTTAGGTTTTAAATAGCAAACAAATTGGATTTGATTTACCTTCTTCAACATCATTCCGTGCTGCTGCTTCCAGAAGCATGACGCTTGGAACAAAATGGACCTTATAAGTCTTGCTGTTCTTAGCTGTTCTGGGAATAGTGTCCATGATTGCGTTACCGCTTTTCTTTCTCTTTGTCTGTTGGTACTCTTTCTCACGCTGGCTCCACCGCTTTAGCTGCTGTAGTCTTCGTTTTCTCGCATGCTTAAGACGTTCTTGCGTACTCATTTTCTCCACTACTGCCATTTCAGCGACGAGTTCTGAATGCTCCGCCATGTCAGTCAGTCTGTTATAATGTAATATGAAAGTAAATCAATCATATAGAATACTTGGCACTGGCATTTTAAACGGAGTTCTCCAAAATATAAATGCCGTATGTTGGAAAAAGATAATCTGCAGTGTGCTTTCAGAAGACAATGTCGAAAAAGGAATGTAACAGCCCTTAATGGAATGTGAGAAATGACTGGATAATACGTTTATTAACATGAACACGGCTCCGAAAGAATTTCGAATGTTTGACTTGTAATTAGCAATAATAGAAGACATTCTGCTTCTTTGGATGCAGCCCTGTATTCCATTCTCTTGTTATACTTCTTTATATTCCCTATTATTACCTAAAAATAAACAAAGTTATGAATTTATTGAGCCTATAACAATAATAAGAAAAACTCTTTTAATAAATATTAAATTTAATTGTTCATTTACATGAAAAGTACTAAATATTAACTATATAATATGCATATGGAGACTAAAAATTTGAATAATTGCTTTAGAAATTTTTTGTTACTGTTTATATCGGACTAGAAATCAACCCATTTGTTTTAATAAGTAATTTTAAAGTTTAGATTGATCCTTTTAGAATATAGCACACGAGCGGGGGGGGGGGGGGTTAAGGAATCGGTATCAGTATCTTTCAGGTTTCTGAAAACAACTTCATTTTAAAAGCTACTCGCTTTTAGGTAGGAGCAGCGGCCGAGCTGCTTAATTTTCCAGGGCCCACCAGCGGCCGAGCGGTAAAGACACTGAACACTGGTAGTTCGGTCCGAGGTTCGAATCCCGCGAACGGGCTGGCTGCATGGGTGTTTTCGTGGTTTTCCCCATGTGTAACGTGTATACGAGCCAGTTTCCTTAAAAAGTCCTCCACGAAGGCATCCCTCCCCTTAGGCTAGGCAGAGAGCCCTCGAGACTTTGCCGTAATTAAATAACCTAACCTACCTAAAAGCTCAACAATTTATGACTATGCATTTATATATTGTGCCATGAACTGATCCACAAATCAAAATCATCTGCCATGATTATATTTCAGGCAGAAACGTGCAAAAAAGATTTTTTGAAAGCTGATAAAAAAATGCCAAGGTTTTGGCGACTTAATATTTTGTCGCCCAGTTCGGCGAGAAGTCGCCACACTTGATGAGCATTTGGCTACATTTGGATCCGATCCCTGTATCACCTTAATATGTATTGCAATTGAATAACTGATTTAATTTTAGATGCTTTGTAACCGCCCTGCCTACCAGCAATTTCGAGAAGCAGAAAGTACTAGAAATATCTCAGAGATCGAGCGAAAACTATATAGGACCAGAGACAGCATGTGCTCGGAGTTGTTGGTTCAGAGCGCATGATATTCCACTTATCAAAGTTCGCATATATAGGTAATTTTTATTGCAGAAATGAAATTCGAAGAAAGAGTTATGATATTTCATTTATGAAAGCTGCTTATATGAAAAGTGCGAAGGACATGATATTTAATAAATAAAGGTAACGCATAAAATGTTAAAGAAGTTGGGCGTAATATAATTTTTTTGTTTTCTTTTTTTAACTTAATGAATTCTATGATTTTGTTTAAAACTCTTAATAGTAAACTAAAACGCAAAGAACTTCTTTTCACCTTCGCATGGTGGTCAGGGAAGCCGACAGCGAAGCCAAAGGGCCTGGGTTCGAATCCCGAAGAAGGCATGGCTGTAATTGTCCGTCCCTTTTATAGGAAAGGCGATAGTGTCCCACCTATTAGATGCCTCCATAATAAAGAGACCACCACATCCGGCCTTGTATAAATTAATGAACTAGGTTACATTTGTAATTGTTCACAATCTGCCAATGGGGAAAAAAAAAAAAAACTTCTTAACGAAAGACACGCTACTCGGGATTTTCCATACGTGTAACGTGAATATGAGTTAATTTCTGGTAAAAAGCACGTCATGAAAGCCTTCCTTTCGTTAAACTGAGAGCTTTCATATGTCCTGAAATAAATTAAATACCCACTCCTCCTTCAAAGGTATATATTAAAATTAAAAATGCTACTTTAATTAAAAATTTATTTTAAAATGAAAAATGAATCAAATCCATATTCATCTTCTCAATCATTATCGTACTGTTTCGAATTTTGTACATAGATAGGCAATTTTAGTAGAATTATAAGTAAAACTGTTGTATTTCTTTTGTAACATGAAAATATCTAAAGAAAAGCTATGCCGGAAAAACAGGGGCATGTGCATTTAACATTGAGTAAATGGAATCTAGGTAATTTGGCGAGATATGGCCAAGCTGACAACAGTTTTGGGGGACATATTTTGTCGTTAAATTTGGCGATAAATCACCAAAAGTCAGCAAATTTGGCAACATCTCGTCCGGTCTTTGTATCACCGTAATATGTATTGAAACTGAACAAATGTAATTGACCACTATGTTAGCTGTAACCGTAATTCCACCCTTGTATTCCTTTCCAGTCATTTCGAGAAGCAAAAAGTATTAGAAATACCTCGGCGAGCGGTTGAAAACTATTTAAGACTGAAGAGAGAGCATCTGCTCACAGTACCTCCAGCTAACCCTAAATCTAGATTTTGGGCTCACTTTCCACGACTGACGAGAGATGGCGCCACCCAAGCGACTTCAGTTTCTTCATACACTTTCTAAACAGAGAGCTTTCTCATCTTTACCATTGCTTATCTTCACTTCCACCGCCATCAGAAGGCGAACAATTCAGCATTTTCTCTTCTCTTTTTCTCTTCTAGCTTCCTCCGGACGACCTCCTGCTACAGGATCCACTCGAGTTCTCCACAAAGTCAGGTCCTTCGGAAGTTCTTTCAAGCTATTGGGAAGTACTACCACAGAGTAGCAGAAACCCAGTATTTTCCAATTTAAGTATCTCTGCTCACAGTTGCTTAGTTATTGTTGTTGCGAGTCTTTAGTTCCGCGTGAATTGAGATAATCCGAGTTAGCTTTCGATGCGCTTTGCATTCCGTTGTGTTTAACGTTCTCAGTAGTTTGATGCGTAACTACTGATTGTGCTCTGTGATATTGTAAACTTCTGTACGAGTATTTCTGCGGAAAATTACAGAACTTTGAAGTGTTATTTTCATAAAATAAATTTTTATTAACCTATCATCGAATAGGTGTGCAAGTATTATTCCTTTAACATGAAATATCCATAATGAATTCCTGTCTGTTTGGTTTATACAGAACAATGGTAGCCAAAACTTAGATCGTGAGCTAACAGTAGGTCACTGCAGAGTAGTGACCTACTGTTAGCTCACGACTCACTTCTAACACTGTTAGCTCACACTTAATAGCTCACGTAAGACTATTTTTCTTTTAAGCTAATATTAAAAACAAATATAAAAAGTATATGGTTATAATAAAAAATTCATATGGCATTCTGCTCGCTTTGCAATTTTTTTTAATCAAAAATTCGTTAATTTTTACAAAATATGAAATAGACAATAAAACAAATTCGGGCTTCCAGGTGCCCACGTTCGGGTGGAGGACTACGTTATTCAGAGTGCGATGTCTCTAGCAACCGTTATTTTCGTTGTTTGTTCGCAGTGCCGAGGAAACATACATTCATGTAGATTCTTCATTACTCAGTTTCTTTAAATATAACACAGGGTGGTAACAATTAGTGGCAACAATCTGAAAAGTGATTCAGACATTTAAAGCAATTCAACACAAAATGCCGTTTTTGATACTAATAGCCCTTCTGAGCTAACGCCTGTTTGAGCTAATAAATCTTTTTAAATAAAAAATCAATAATTATGAATAAACCTGTACTTTTAGTTAAAAAAAAAAAACTTTAGTTAAAATATTAAAGAGAAGAATATCCGCTATCGGTTAGCAATTTTTAAGAAATACAGTAAATAAATATAATTAAATAAAATTACCAGTCATTATTTATTGTGACACATTTATTGTCTGCACAGCCTTTATCCCAATAATTTTTAAATACTCTGAACTATATTTGAGATTCGCTGTGAATAAATCTCTTAACAATTATGGATCCTCTAGTCTAGTTTCTAACACTAAAATTCATAATTTAAATGAACCACAGATTCATGATCACAGATCAGTGGTTTTAACAAAGCTTCGTAACCATGATTTTCCTGCCTCCATTTTACTTTTTGCGTAGGACAGATACAGAAAAGTGCCTCACAGAAAGGGGAACCACCATTTGCTCTAGTTCTCATGGTCCGTGATAAAACATTTTAGGCACACAAAGATTAAAAATAACGGGGAAAAATGGATGGATAGAAATGATAATGGATAATTACACGCACAATAAATACATGATGAAGAAACACCGCTGTACTGTAAAATCACGCGAAAGGATGAACACATACAATGCCTGACAAATATATCAATGCAGGTAAGCCAACTGTGAAAACAATACTTCGTCAAAGTTGCCAGAGATTGAAGTACCGCAGGCCGAGGCTTAAAATCTTACCTTTTAGATTTCTCATCATTTCAACGAAAATATCCATTTTGACCGCTATCGAATGCAATTCAACGATGTTTTTAAGTGAAATCTGTATGTAAGGACAGAATGAAAAACTCTTTTTCCCAAAACGAATTATAAAACTGATTTAAAATGGATTCAAACGAGATTTTTTTCGTGGCGTTTTTTTAATAAATCAAAAACGAGTAGCCTCAGAACGTTGAAATTTTGTATATGAGAATGCTATAACATCTAGTTGTGCACCTCCCTTTTTCCTTGCAATCGGCCGCATCGAAGTATATATATATGTGATGTACCAGCTTTTGTCCGGAATAAATAGATTGGTGAAGAATCAGACGTAGTTCTAGCTCAAAATATCAGACGATACGTTTAACAAACAGGATCCATTTATTATTATTCAGGAGAAATAGCAGTTACAAAAAAATCAGATCTCCAGAGTAAATAAAAAAGAACTACTAATAACTTTTTGTATGAAGTTTACTGCGTCGTTGCATTAAAGAAAAGACCCCGATATTCCTTTGCGAGTCCTTTTATAGCCTCTGGAAAGGCGGAGCTTCCAAGAAATGACGTCAGCCTCGGCAGCCATTTCAATTCGCTTTAAATATCTCGAGAACATTCTATAACTGTACGTGTAGAAAAGGCGGGAAAAACAACTTGACTACGCGGCTGTGGATTTAATTCCACGTACTTTCAAATAAGAGACCGTCGCCATTAAAAATGAAAAGAACACACAGTTAGAATTTTATGTGTATTTTTGACTATGGAATTTTATTATTACACATATATAATATATATATACCCGCTCTGTTACTCGGCTCGGGGAGCTCATTTTTTTTATTCTCATATGTTGGTAAATTTCGCATTTTTTACTTTAAAAATGATTGA